CTACTTCAAACAAATGTCAGAAACTTTTAGGGCATTTTTTTTCATCTCGAGGGGCATATTTATGCTCGAGGGGGCACATTTATGTCCGCAAAAGGGGCACTTACTTGAGTAAATCTGGGGGACCCCTGGTTCTGCCGCCCCTGAATCATGGAGCTCTATAAGCCTTTGGTCTTTAACAATGTATACTTTCGGGCAATTCACAATGCAGTGCGCAACCAAGAGTTTGCCATGGAGAGTCAACTTTTTAAGTTGATGGTCGACAAAATATGGCCCATTTGAGTGTCAGTAGACAACTTGAGCTATAGATAGGGCATAGCATTCTGGCGCCTAACAAAAAATCACCACATTCGATACAAAGAAAATAAAAGGGCAAACATATATACACGAATCATACGCTTACGAAACTACTGACCGGGAAAAACGAACATTTTTAAATGTCCCGCGCTGCGAGTTTGTCGACCATCCACAATGCACTGGGAAAAATGAACTCTCCGTGGCAAACTATTGGTGGCACTCTGCATTGTGAATCGCCCAAAGCAATAAAAAGAATACCCCGGAAAGATTCCATACACGGACAACTCTGTCAAATTGTCTTGTCAACAAAGTCTAGTCCCGGGTTTTCTCAGTAGGGCATTGGTAGTGGTACTAGGCTAGGCCTAGGCTAGACCGTACCCGTGAACGTGGCTAGCCTACCGCGCTACCGGCATGACCCGATTGACCAGTAGGCTAAATGATGCTTCTAATTTTCCCAGCTAAATCTGACTTTTAGGACATAATATCCATTTTAATAGTGGTATTGGTCACTGTAGAGGAAAAATAGAGATGTCCAGATATGGGAATCTTTCCAGTACGCCGAAAGGTAGTTGAATTTTGAGAAATAAATAGTCCAAACTTACATGATGTACAGGAGGACTCGCCTACGCTCTGCTGCAATATCGATGATGACATGATTGATGTAGGGATAATCAACCAACAGGTGGCGCTCTTCACAATTAACGGTGTCAAATACAAACTCGTTTACGTAGTGTTGAGCGGTACGCACTGACATGTAGATAAAGTACAGGAAAGAAAGTTACAAATAAAGTTAACCCTGCAGGGAACGAAGTTGCGAAAAAGTCTGAATTTTCCCATCATGCACTGCGAAATCCCAATTCCTACCGCGATAGGATTTTGGAAATGGGAATCGTTATTCGTTTTCCGTTTTGCTTTCGATATGGGAGGGGGGAATCGTTATTCGTTTTCCGTTTTGCTTTCGATATGGGAAATGGGAATCGTTATTCGTTTTCCGTTGAGCTGTCGAATAGGAAAGCGGGAATCGTTATTCGTTTTCCGTTTGGCTGTCGTGATGGGATTTTTTATTCGAAGTCCGTTATCCTATTTTGCGCGGCAAATTGGAAATAGGTTAGTTATCCGTTGTTCTTTTTGCTTAGGAATTTGGAAACGGGTTTCATTGTTCGTTGTTCTTTTTGCTTAGAAATTGGGAAATGGGTGAGTTAGTTCGTTTTTCTTTTTGCTTAGGAATTGGGAAATGGTTTATCCATTTCTCTTTTTGCTAGCCTTAGGAAGTGGGAAATGGGTTTCGTTATCCGTTTTTCTTTTTGCTTAGGAATTGGAAAATAATTTCGTTATCCGTTTTTTCTTTTTGCTTAGGAATTGGAAAATGGGTCTCGTTATCCTTTTTTTTTTTTTTTTTTGCTTAGGAATTGGGAAATGGGTTTCGTTATCCGTGGTTCTTTTTGCGTGGGAACTGAAATGGGTTTTGAGATTGTACTTGACACCGTTAATTGTGAAGAGCGCCTCCTGTTGTTTGCGGATGATATCAACATCCGAAGTGAGCAGACAGCTCATGGAAACGCTTACTCTTGGACTATATATTAACCCTATAAAGTATAAAAACAAACAAAAGTCATGGTCACCTAAAAAAATGCTTTAATTGGACATTGACTCAAATTTTAGGCAGGTATTCGTCACAATTCGTGTTGACAAACATTATTTCATTTACGGCACCGCAAAGTGATGACCACAATTAATGTAGTGCGTTTTTGGTAGGTTTTTTTTTTTTTACAGTGTTTCAAACAGTACATTGCTTTTGCTATATATATTTATGATTTTACGATTTCCTCTCTGATTTCAACTGAGTTTGGTTGTCTTGTCATAATGAACTATTGTACTATAAATTCAAGGCAACATACTTTACTATGAGATATCGCCGGCAACCGAGTGTGTTTTTTTTAGTAATAAAAGTTATTCGCAATTTTTTGGATATGATGTTATTTTTCCATGACTCTCCGAATTTGAAAGTATTGTGTTATCAGGAGATATAATTTTAAAAAAACGTTCATTGACGATTCACTTGTAATATATTTCTGAATACTGAATTTTAATTTTCGGTATAAAGCAGTCAAATTAACAAGTAAATAAAGCATTACTCCCCTATCAACTGGATGCAAAACTGTCTTTATCATCATTTTCTGAAGTAATTCATCTAGTTTCTCCTCACAATAAAATATTCTGAAATCGATGTCAGACTTTTGTTTACTAAGCTCTGGAGAACTATTTGATTTTTTTGTTAAGCTCAACATTTGCATTTTTCAATTGCTTTTTCTATAAACATCTACGATCTATCACAAGACTACCGTTTATTGATCTAAAATAAAAAAAGTAGACTGCATATATAAACTCTATTTAAACAGACTTGTCATGCTTCGAAAAGCACTTGTACAATGTAGAGGGTGGATTTTTAATTACAAACATCAGACGTTTGCCTCTTCAATATAAATAGATCTGCTCAAAGTTTGCACTGTACATGTTCAATCAAAGTTGGGGAAAGAATGTGTTGGGAACAATATTTGTAGCAATTCTTTTTGTCCAACAGCTATCGGTGTCAAATACCACATCTTGGTTTGGGAAATAATTACACTTTCAATAATTATTACAAGGTTAACACTTGATATTTCATTTCTTTCTGTGGTGTAAATGATTTTTTAGCTTTGAGGTTTTCGGAAAGAATGGATAAAATGTCATGGTGCAATAAAGATTTATACCTACAGTGTGACGTTTCGAACATGTCTGAGCCTTTAATAAGTTTCATTTTTTTGTTCGAAAGAACGTCTGGCTTTGGTTTACCTTGGAAACAATGTAATTCACGGTAGCATAAAATGGTACAAGTAGAGCGCGTAATGAATATGCATGACTATGACGTCACTAGAAGCTCATGAGTAATATATCACGCACAGTACTGATAGATATACATGTAGATGCACACTGTATGTGCTGCATCCCACTTACCGATGATATCACATTTAACAAGTCCTCTTTCTCTACTGTCGCGCCGCCACCCTCTAGTGTCGTCCCACTTACCGATGATATCACATTTAACAAGTCCTCTTTCTACTGCCGCGCCGCCACCCTCTAGTGTCGTCCCACTTACCGATGATATCACATTTAACAAGTCCTCTTTCTACTGTCGCGCCGCCACCCTCTCGTGTCGCCCCACTTGATGATCATCGGTAAGTGGGGCAACAGTAGAGGGTGGCAGCGCGACAGTAGAAAGAGGACTTGTTAAATGTGATATCATCGGTAAGTGGGACGACACTAGAGGGTGGCGGCGCGACAGTAGAGAAAGAGGACTTGTTAAATGTGATATCATCGGTAAGTGGGATGCAGCACATACAGTGTGCATCTACATGTATATCTATCAGTACCGTGCGTGATATACTACTCATGAGCTTCTAGTGACGTCATAGTCATGCATATTCATTACGCGCTCTACTGTGGTACCATTTTATGCTACCGTAATTCACATTCTGTCTTTGACAATTGAACTTGACAGACCTTAAATGTGACTTTTGACTGTTACGTTATGAGTACCAAATCAATATAGGTCTCTGGACTATGTTTAATAGCTCCATGTCTGGACATAGTGCGGCCACCATTTTAAATTTTAATCCGTAATGACCTTGAACTTTAACCAAAAGGGTCTAAAATCAATAGGCTTCTACTTGCATCCCAAGACCAATAAATGTACCAAGTTTGAAGATGATATGCACAGTAATTCTGGAGATCTGCTGCAAAAACTATTTTAATTTGTAACCTACAATGACCCCTTATGGGGTCCACATGTTAAAAAGGTACATGAACATGCACCTAGACAAGAACAGGCAGAAACAGTATGCTCTTTCAGCACAAACAAATCTAGTTTCTTAAGGATTTTATATAAGTTGACTTATTGAACAAAAAAATTATAGTGAATATCAATATTTTCATTGTATTTTACAGAAATAAAAATGCTGTAACAAACTGCTCCATTAAAAAAAAATTCTAAAAGAAACATTGTGAAGTAATAAATTTGCTATATGGCAATACAATTCTCATCCTATTTTGAAGTTCAAATATTTCTAGTCGATCAATTCATCATTCAAATAAAAATAGTGTAAGCTGAAATTCAAGACTACTACAGCAAGATAAAGGCAAGTTTAAAGGAGTGTAGTTACTCATACTGTTCGCAAAAATAATAAATGAATTCATAAAACATTTTGCAAAATATAATATATTCTGAATTTAAATTTTCATTTACAATATTTCAGCAACTGTCCGCACGTTTCGAAGTGAAGTTTTATGACCCAAATCATGCTTCAATGAGTTGTAGAGAGGTTATTCACGTGCAAACATAAAATGTTTGCAAAAGAATTTACACTGATCTTCCCTTTTCACACTAGAGCCTCTTGACCCGGGTTGAACTCAACCCTGGGTGAACTCGTGCCACCCTGGGTTAAATATTGATTTCTCAAACCCCGCATCGTTTCACAGGTTTCATGCAAATCAAGCTTATCATGCTCATTACTACTGTTTAAAACCCTGGCCAGAATTTCAACCCGGGTTGAAAATCACAACCCTGGTGTGGAGCGGGGTTGAGTTCAACCCGGGGCGAAATCAATCTCAGGGTTGACGCAGGGTTGAAAATCTTTTAAGTGCGAAAAGGTGCATGTTTTCAACCCTGCGTCAACCCTGAGATTTGTCTAGTGTGAAAAGGGCTCAACATTTTCTATGTTGACTTGCATCCATCAACGCTTGTTCTTCTTTTTGTCTGGTCTGGTTCTTGGTAAATTTCGCTTTACTGCAGGAAGAAGGGCCGTTTTTGCAGCAGCAACAGCAGATGCTGCGGCAGAACGTCTTGTGCCGTTTCCAACTGCAGCAAGGGACTTCTGTTGCTCGCTGTGCACAAGCCTTGCGAAGAATGACCCCGGTTGCATTGGCGAGCTCATGCTGGCATTTGATTGGCCCGCAGCAGGGGATGCCGAGCTCTGATTGGATAGAATATCCACCTCATCAGACTGCGAGGACTGGTACCACGCCTCGTCGTCACAGCCGCTGTACAACAGATAGGCGGATTCGGGGGACCTTACCTCTGGGATCTGACTAAATTCAAATCCTTGACGTTGGGATTGGTTTATCGTGTTGACATGTTCATCGTCTGGTTTCCGTTGCCACAACCCAGTCGTCGGTTCGAAAGCGGCATTAGTGGCAGTCAAGTTCCCCATGTTCTTGGTGGGTGTAAGAGTGCAGGACAAGTCAAGGGGTACAGACTCTTTGCCAGCTTCAAACGCAATGGCTGAGTTGTTCACTACTGGCTCGGAATCACTGACTATTATTCCACGCAACACATCAATTCCACTGCTGCTTTTTCGTTGTCGTTTGGAAGATTTCGAGGTCCGTTTAGATTTTCGTTTTCGTGATGAGTTTAGCCCGTGGGGCTGGGTCAAACAATCTTGAGAGTCACTGTCACATTTGTTATTACTGTTGTTGTTTACATTTGCCAGGTTGGATGATGCAGCACATGATCCATGGCCCCGTCGACTTTCAGTGTTGCGTTTAAGTTCCTGAACAGAAGTCTCAGCTGTTGGGCTGCGTTTGTCTCGACTGGCGGTTGAGTTGTTCTTGTGCTTTTTACTTGTCTCAGCGTCCTGCATGTGACATAGCTTCTTCACGTTAATCACCGCCCCTCTGCAGCCATGCCCCGCCCTCCCCTTTCTGTGTTTCTGCCTCGTCTTACATTTAGCCGGTTCAACCCCCAATCCCGACCCTTTCTGTGGTGTACTCGTCTCACAAACACTGCCCTCATGTGATGAATTGCTGCCATCTCGTACAGACACCATGATGCAATGTTGACCAACTTGACTCAGACACAATTCGCCTTCCTTCTCACAAGTGGCATCTTCTTTCTCAGCATTACCACTTTCATCATCATTTTTAGCTGCTTTGACGGACAACTTCTCAGGAACAGTTTCACAATTTGTATTCAATGTCGCGGTGATGCTTTTACTTGAAACGTTTTCAGAAGCCAGCCGTCTTTCCGGCGATCTGAGATCCAAAGCCTGAATGTCACGCCCGCTTTGTCTGTTTCCAACAGCTCCCCTGATTGGCTGCTGGGAAAGCTGACTGCAACTTCTGGTCATCCTCATTGGCCGAGCCGAGGATTTCAATGGACCAATCACAGTGGAGCTTGCTGGCACGGGTTGCTCCATTATAGCCATGGGTGTGTTTGGGATGGTACACACAGCTGCGTTGCTTGTTTTCTGGTGTCCGAAAGTCAGATTTCGGAGGCACGCTTGTTGTAGTCGCTGAGCCTGTAGCAATTCCAGCTGCAGGCGTAGGCGCTGCTGTTGCTGTAGCAAGATGCGTTTCTGGATGTCCGTAGGAGACTCCCTAGCTCCTGAAGAATTGACGACACCCCCAGGCAATGAAGAGTGTAGGAGGGACGGTGGAACCTAGACGGAAATAAAACATTAATACAAGTGAAATAAAACAGGTGTTTTTAATTGACCTATCCGCTCCGTTCACAAGTACCCCCTCACCGGCAAAGGAAGAACAGTTGGGGGTGCGCGGCCACTGCGTGTACATAGAACAAATCCCCTGGTGTACGCGCGTCACACACAAGGAACGGTGCGCGTCAACCAGCCAAATGTACCGCCCATGGGACGTCGTTGTTAGGTAGGGCAGTTTGGGGCAGTACAGGGAATAACAGACCGGGCGGTTTGGGTAGTACAGGGGGTAAAAGGCAGGGGGGTTTGGGGCAGTACGTACAGGGAGTAACACGCAGGGCGGTTTGGGGTTGTACTTGGGAGTAACAAGCAGGGCGGTTTTGGGCAGTACAGGGAGTAACAGGCAGGGCGGTTTGGGGCAGTACAGGAAGTAACAGGCAGGGTGGTTTGGGGCAGTACAGGGAGTAACAGGCAGGGTGGTTTGGGGCAGTACAGGGGGTAACGGGCAGGGCGGTTTGGGGCAGTACAGGGAGTAACAGGCAGGGTGGTTTGGGGCAGTACAGGGGGTAACGGGCAGGGCGGTTTGGGGCAGTACAGGGGGTAACGGGCAGGGCGGTTTGGGGCAGTACAGGAAGTAACAGGCAGGGTTGTTTGGGGCAGTACAGGGAGTAACGGGCAGGGCGGTTTGGGGCAGTACAGGGAGTAACAGGCAGGGTAGTTTGGGGCAGTACAGGGGGTAACGGGCAGGGCGGTTTGGGGCAGTACAGGGAGTAACAGGCAGGGTGGTTTGGGGCAGTACAGGAAGTAGTAGGCAGGGTGGTTTGGGGCAGTACAGGGAGTAACAGGCAGGGCGGTTTGGGGTTGTACTTGGGAGTAACAAGCAGGGCGGTTTTGGGCAGTACAGGGAGTAACAGGCAGGGTGGTTTGGGGCAGTACAGGGAGTAACAAGCAGGGTGGTTTGGGGCAGTACAGGAAGTAACAGGCAGGGTGGTTTGGGGCAGTACAGGGAGTAACAGGCAGGGTGGTTTGGGGCAGTACAGGAAGTAACAGGCAGGGTGGTTTGGGGCAGTACAGGGAGTAACAGGCAGGGCGGTTTGGGGTTGTACTTGGGAGTAACAAGCAGGGCGGTTTTGGGCAGTACAGGGAGTAACAGGCAGGGCGGTTTGGGGTTGTACTTGGGAGTAACAAGCAGGGTGGTTTGGGGCAGTACAGGGAGTAACAGGCAGGGTGGTTTGGGGCAGTACAGGGGGTAACGGGCAGGGCGGTTTGGGGCAGTACAGGGAGTAACAGGCAGGGTGGTTTGGGGCAGTACAGGGGGTAACGGGCAGGGCGGTTTGGGGCAGTACAGGGAGTAACAGGCAGGGTGGTTTGGGGCAGTACAGGAAGTAACAGGCAGGGTGGTTTGGGGCAGTACAGGGAGTAACAGGCAGGGCGGTTTGGGGCAGTACAGGGGGTAACGGGCAGGGCGGTTTGGGGCAGTACAGGGAGTAACAGGCAGGGTGGTTTGGGGCAGTACAGGAAGTAACAGGCAGGGTGGTTTGGGGCAGTACAGGGAGTAACAGGCAGGGTGGTTTGGGCAGTACAGGGAGTAACAGGCAGGACGGTTTAGGGCAGTACAGCTTTGGGTTTTCAACCAAATGCTTACTTGGTCATACATCCTGCGACTCATATCAAACTCAGTCAGCTGATTTCCACCGACCAATGGCTGACCGGCAGGCGACGTCACAGTCACAACACGAACCGATGGCGCGTGGGCGGTGGGTTGAGTAACAACTGACAATCGATGGGGTGATAAGACACCAGCTTGCCGGATACCAGTTACAGGCACTTCTGTCGTCGGGTTGTTCTGGTGAGCAGACAATCTCAGGCAGGTGCTATGTTGCAGTAACTGTGCCGTGCCGGGCATCACGGTGTTGTTGCAAGTGATGAGGAATTTGTTGTTGCGAGCTTGTCTAGAATAAAAACAATTTGAAATGTGCTAACCTGTTTTTAGTTGTGATGCAAGGTCCCTAAAGAACAGGCCTGCAAAATCTTTTGAGGACATTCTGCTTGTAGATTTCACCAAACAAGGAATCCCATTGAAGCTCCTGTAAGCCATCGATACAACGAGTTTGTAGAAATTAGGCATTCATTTGCCTTCAAATTTATATTTTTTAATATCTTGTGCTTTCTGTGCTTGATATGAGCTTAATAATAATGTTTTTGGAGCAAAAACCTGACAAAGTTAATGAATTTTTTCTATGACAGAATTATGAATGGCGGCAGTTGGGCACTAATTATCACTTTAGTTCAAAGGAAGCACAACAAATAGGCAGAGCCACAGTACGAATGTCTGATATAACTTGCAAATTTTATGTGACCCTGTGCGCCAGCCAATTGGACTGGCCTTTAGAAACGTCATATATATCGATCAGAAATGTGGACTACGGTATGCTGTGGATCAGCGGCGTAGCCAGGATTCTCATCCTAGAATTTTTTTGGGGGGGGGGGGCTGGATGTTTCAATGGCATGCCGTGAATTCTCTAACAGAACACCCAAGCTGGTTCCTGATCTCTCGTATCTAAAAATTTTTCCTGATGAATGACTACCACCAGCAGGGAACAATTAGTACCACTTGCCTGAGCGATTCCTCAGAGGCCTAAAACACTCATGGATTTTGCATAAATTAAATATTTTAACCAGATGACGTTACACTGGGCTCAGTCAAAGATACACACTGAAAATCCTGGTTTAAAAATTTAAGGGCCCAGGCTTTTACAAGGGAAAATCATCGCAATAGGGGGGCCCAATTTCACCCGTGCTGAAACTACACAGGTTTTTTTCAACGGACACCCGACCTCCGTAAAGGGGAGGGGGGCCTTGACACCATCTTCCCAGGGGGTGCTCAAAACCGATATCATGGGTCATGTACGTCAGATAATAGCTAGCACTATTCGCTTTACATATGACGTTACAATAAACAGCCACTCACGAAATACAGGGTTTGGGTGTGGAAAAAACACATAAATGGTGGAAAAAGGGCACTTTATAATGCTAACTCAAACGACTGTGATTTTCTCTGGTTAAAGGGGCACTAGGTCCTGAAATCCCCAAAAATTTCATGTTTTGGATTGTTTACTTAGCCTATTTCAAACATGTGGTTGAAAGGAAACCAACCTAATGTCTAACCGTTCCCGAGAAAAGAGGAAAAATCCCCGGTTGTTTACATCGGACACGACGGAGTACGAATACATTTTTCATGTCGTTCCCATACAGTGTATGATATACACGTTGTGTGTCTCGGGAACCGCGGTGACCAATCACCAATGCAAAAAATGTGGTTTCTTCAACGTCCGCAAAAGGCCAACGCTTTACGAATGAAGTCACAACTAGCATCCAAACAGCTCGAATTTATGGGGTCGCAAAAGTGGACCGCGAAATTCGTTCTCGCACGCATAATACAGGAATAACACAAAAACGCCCAGTTTTTAAAGGATAGTTGTGTGGGTGTTTGTATCCTAATTTTAAATGTTCTTTCGGATTAACATCATCTCGTTCAAAGCGCGTTTTGTGGCCCAATTGGGCTGTTCCAGGACCTAGTGTCCCTTTAAGGACCCTTAAAAGAAAAAAACACGAACAACACGAAAAAAATTGTATAAAAGTAAGTGCAGATCTTGGACTGAATATATTCAAAGTGGTAAAAAAAAATGATAATATACAGTATATGGATATTTCAGAGGTTCTTTTTGAAAACCACTTAATAAACCAAACAATCTTGATAAGTGCCAGTCTATACCTCTCTTCTTCAATTCTTCCGATGGTGACCGGCAGAGAGGCGAGTGGACAGCATCTGTTGGTTACCCTGGCAATGACATCGAGCAACGGATGAGCAACATTAGGAAACATCCTCAGCAGATGAAAGATGCGATTCTTCACTAACAGCTATCCAAAGAAATATTTTGGGGATCAAATAAAAAACCATAAACATCAACAGAAATTGCGATTGCAAGTAGAAACTGAAAACTTGTGTTAAAGATAGTACAGTGGAACGCTGCTATAACGAACATCGCGGGATCCACAGAAAGTGTTCGTAATAACCATCGTTTAATACGGGCGACTCACAATAGTGCGCCTCCATGAGTTTGCAATGCATTGGCCAATCACAATGCGCAAAATTAGTCGACTTTTTCCAAACGCGCATTGGGTCGACGAATTTTGCGCATTGTAATTGGCCAACGCGTTGCAAACTCTTGGAGGCGCACTATTGTGAAACGACTATATTGGTATAGCGATTTTGAATCGCCGGTACGCTCTTTTGACCAATAGTGAACTGGCATTTCTCACATACCGCGGCTGCACGAGGAGTCGTCACGAAATTTTAGCAACTGGTTTTCCCTTTTATTCTTTGGGGAAATAATAGCCATCTATCGCTCTTCAACATTTAAACATGATGTAACCATGGGTGGTTTGATGTTCAGGAATTAAAAGTGACCCCAATAGCATTTAATACATCCGGTAGATTTTTTGTTAATCGGTTGACTTTTTTCAACAACAATGTTCGGTACGTTTGTACATTAAAACCGGGAGCCACTGATGATGTTCGGTACAGCCGAATGTTCGGTATAGCGGTGTTCGTTATAGCGATGTTCCACCGTATATACAACATTTGCAAACATAAAAAAAAAAACTTCCAAATTAATGATGAAATACCTTACTTGACTGTAAGTGAATAATAGTCTCAAGCATCCTGTAAAATCATGGCACCTGGTGTGCTGTCATTTTCAAGAAAAGTGGAATTTTTGTAACGATTCCCCAATGATGACCAGCCGACCATCGTTAGATTAAACTGACTTTTATCAAATACTGCCCCCAGTTTACCAAATTTAGTTGCAATCAGTTACATATCCGCAAACGGGCAAGCCAGCTAGTCTGGTTCCTTGACCTGACAATTCCCCGACATCACAAGTGCTCCGTTTCGTCTGAAGTAGGGTCAGGGAACCAGGCTACAAGAACATTTTTTTTCTTGATTTTCCCCAGCATCTTTGAACCGACAATGTAAACAGATCAGTGTATACACTATTTGCTATAAAATACTAAACCCCAAATCCATCCATTTCAGAAAATTAGAGCAAATGTTGCATATTACCTTTAACGATCATTGTGTATGTCACCGACCTTTTAATTTAGAGCCTTTTAAATAAAGTATATTATTTCCAGTCCATATTTAAGTTTTCAAAAAGTGGGGGGAGGGGGAGGGGGGGGCAAAGGCGCCTTGTCCCCTCCCCACTTCCACTGCCTTTGATGTCTATACCTGCTCATAGTGCTCCTCAATGTTGGTTATTGACAGATCCACTTCACACAACAGTCCAATCAACAGACGGAATTTCTCCGGTGTAGATGCGCATTTAGCCTGGGAAGAAATAACAGAAATGATGTGGATTGTTAGCGTGACATTTGTAGCATTGTGTGGAAGGAAGGGAAGGGCCAGCTTTGCAGGAATTTTTTTTACAAAAGTTCCAATAACACAAAGAACCAAGCATTTGCTTCCTTTTGTGAACATTATACAATGTGTCAAAAAAAAACCAAAATGTCCCACTTTTGATCCTAAAAGGGGAGTGTGTGGCCTAGTGGTTAGGGTTCGTGACTCATGATCAGAGGGTCCGGGGTTCGAATCCAGCCGCTGGTCATATATTGTGTCCTTGGGCAAGGCACTTCACCCCCACTTGCCCCTCTCCACCCAGGAGTATAAATGGGTACCGGCATTAGCTGGGGAGTAACCTGCGATGGACTAGCATCCCATCCAGGGGGAGCAGAAATATTCTCAGTCGTTTCATGCTACTGAAACCGGAGATAAACGCCGGCCTGATGAGCCACATTGGCTCGGGACAGACTTTACTTAACTAAGAACTAATAAAATTGTTTACCAATGGAAATAAACCAAAATTTCAGATCATGTACACAAGGTATGACAAATTTTATGGAGTGAGTTTCATCAGCTTTGTGCAAGAGGGTGAGATTTTAAACGCCATACGAAAAAAAATACTCACTTTCAGAATCTGCGACTTTCGACTATAGGCGCCCTCCAATGTCGATACAGCGCTGGAGACGGTGGCGGAAGGCACATGTTGCAGTCGCAAGCTTCTGAAGGAATGCAGGATCACCCCTGATGTCATTGCACACCTCCTCGTTGGTTTGGCGCAACACAAGATCGAGGAGGTGTGCAATGACATCAGGGGTGATCCTGCATTCCTTCAGAAGCTTTTAGCCGCAGCACGCACCTTCTGCCATCGTCTCCAGTGCTGTATCGACTTTCTGAAAGTGAGTATTTTTTTTCGTATGGAGTTCAAATCTCACCCTCTTGCACAAAGCTGATGAAACTTTTGGTTTAATTCCATTGTTAAACAACAGAGCTATTTTGGATCAAAAGTAGGACATGCTCTTTTTTTTTGGACACGTTGTTGAAACTTACTGGAATGTAAAGATTTAATTCTTACCTTGATGACATTAAGTATGTTGACGATTTCCCCGACATCATTTATACTGACATCAAATTCTGCAAGATTTAGTCAAATTCAAAATTGTCAATTATGCCATCAAAGATGCACAGATTTCAAATGGGGGATTTTTATAGAATTTGTTTAAAGACGTGTTACCGTGCTACTTTTGAGTTTACCTCGAAAACTAGATCTGTTTTTTATTGAATTCACTTTTTGCGACATCGACTGAAAAAAAATCCACCTACGTTTATAGATACTGAATTATTTCTTTCCAAAAATTTGAATTAACGGCTGTCAGACAATAATTCGGCTCTTCAGCGCGGGTTCTTGTGCCCAAAATGAAAGCCCTTATTCAGTGGGTTGAGACGCCCGAAATCGGAATATAATACTTTTCGTTACAAAACATAAAATTTGAAAATTTGTCAGGAGAAAACACATCTATTTATGAAAAGCATCAGGTATATACACCTTTAAGCAAGTTGAGGTACTTTTACGGTAATATGCGCATCTTGTTCACGGGGCAAAATGAATACATGTTGCTGAACACACCATGACGTGGAAGCGCAAAAGTTTTCGATTGACGTGCGTACTCACACAAACGTGTATTCACCGTCGATCGTGGACGTCCTATTGTCCCTCTTTTGTTTGTACTTTAACTTTTTAGGAAGACTCCCATAGGTTTTGTATACGACCCCAATCGCGGACGTATGCTGAGAATCATGGACAATATTGTTCTCTTTTGTTCTCTGTTATTTTTTGTCCACGGTTTAAAAAGATGAACATATACAACAACACATACTCTTTTTGCCCCATGAAATTGTCACATATTAACAGTAAAAGTACTTAAAGTTGAACACGAGGTGTGTATGTATATGTAAAACAAGCTTATGCCAAAGTGTCACTGAAATTGTTGTTTTGGATTCTGCCAATAAATATAGGTGAAGGAAAAATCTGCCACGAAAAAAAAATGGAAATATTTTTCTACCTGGGGATAGGTATTTACTCAGCTGGTTCTGTAGTTTCAGATCCATGTTGCAGCCGGAGGATCGACCGCCAGCCAGATTCAAGTTGGACTGAGTTGAGTGAACATCATTTTCTGGGGAAATAAAATAATAATTTATTCACCTAGGGCTAAACCTATAAAATCCATTTACTAGGCCTAATACCAAGTTTGAAATTTTATGCAGAAAATCAAATTGTACCAGTACTGTATTTAAGCCCTACTTGTATATATCCATTCAAAAGAAATTGTTTTAGGAGAGGGCATATGAAATAATAAGGCCATGGCAATAAGGTGTGTCATGGTAATGTGCGCCATCTTGTTCGCGGCGCAAAAAGAACACAAGTTGCTAGACGCTTGAACGCTTGTTGACTTGGAAGCGCCAAAACTTTCCAATGACAATGTTTACACAGAACGCGTGTAAAATTGCCCATGAAACACCTTATCGTTACGACAGACGTAACGTGACTTTCAACTGCTATCATTACGACACTGTCCTGTTCCCTGACGTAATTGACCTATCGCGGTAGAATCGCGTTAGAATCATGTCAACGCAACTTGTGAAATATTGTCCAACTACATGATATACAAATGGACGCAGAACACGCAAAATCTGAGACAATAAAACTTAGAGTAGGCCTACACAAATTAAATAGGGTTGTCAAAGGGGTGTGGCTAACTTGCAAACGGCGATAGGTCAATAGTATTCAACGTCACGATCTTTGGCCGTTGGAATCAACAAAATCGTTGTAGGCCTATGACTTTTTTCCCTATTTAAAAAATCCTCCAATTTTTAAAAAAGAAAATGAAATCTACTTAAATAAAAAGAAAAATTTGATTAAAACCTGAAACTTAAGAGCTCTATTAAAGTTTTTTTTTTTCAAATTCCGAAACAATAGTATTTGAAAACTGCGTTACGGCTGTCGTAACAATAGCCACTACAATTTTACAAAGTTAAACTGGGTTCCAGAACTGGATTTTAAACATGAAGCCTACTTTCAGTTTGGCTACCCATGCTACCTGTTTAGTTAAGAATTGATGACACTTCTTCTCCGAGTTCTAGGTTTAGGCCTTCTACTCTTGAATTAAACTTATTTTATAACTAGTCTTTTATATGGAATAATAAAGCCACTTTCATGACTTTATGTGTTTGGAACCATCTAGGCTACCCGGTGCATTGTTCGCTAAAGTAACAATAGTCATAGTTAGCTTGAGTAACTCCAGCTTAACAAGCTCATGATCAGTAAGTCATAGTGTAGAAAATTATAGCCAGCTTCTTTTTGTGGAAACAGAGTATGGTTTTGATTTAGGAGTATTAACGAAACTTGTACAAAATAGAGGTGTCCTAAACTACACGATTGCCTTTTTCCCATCGATAGTTGCCGGTCACTCACTGAGAAATATTGGGCGTATAATTATACGCATAAGTACGCTTTGAGGCTAAAGCATGCAGTGAGTAGTGTGGACAAAACATGCCATGAAGGCCTGCACAACTTCAGCTTCACAAGATCAGACACAAGTCAAAATTTTATCGCGATTTTTCCCTGTAAGATAATGATTTATGTTGAAATCACAACATCAGTCTTACCTTTATCCTTTTCACTTTGAAGATTTCGGCTCATCGTGAACGAATCTCTTGTAATTTTCGGTGATTTAGTGTGAAAAAAGAACCACCTAACTCTAAATCTTGATCTCGAAACGACACAACGTAGATTTAACACATACACCTCGCAACACACTCAATCAATCAATCAAGTTTACAAAGTGCATGAAGTGTATTCGATCGATTCTTTTGAAATAACGCGGAAGCGTCGATTGTGTTGAAGGGTGGGCGTACTTTTGTAAATGGCTTATTTAGCAAAATATTGCCGAATTGTTCGAATTCGCACTAAAGAAACCATGTTCATCATTCTTTTTAAACGTTAAAATTATTGATTTTTTAAATATCACAAAATATATAGGATTTAATTACACGGACCCACGTTACGGACTACCCTAAATATGAATAATGGAATACTCCTAAACTTTATAATTTGCATATCAGAGCGCCATCACGCGACCAAATTGTTTTTTTTAACCTGCTCAATTATGTTTTTGTACAAAATAACTTTTAAATCTTAAACATTTTTTTTTTTGGGGGGGGGGGGAAACCACTTCATGCAACACTTTAGTCTAGTAACTTTTTATGTACGTTTTCATTAAGTTATTTTTATGAAGGTCAACTTTAAATTTAAATTTGGAAATTTCTTAAGCATGTCTAATATCGAACTTCAAATAACCTAAATAAAAGCCAGACAGAAATTTTTGTTAGAAAAATTATTTTATTGTATCCTCAAAATAATGATATCTTGGACACACAAGAGTTGACAAGTTCTTGAACATCTCAGGAATGGCACGTGTGCCGTTAGAATACAATAGAAAGAACAAAATGGGAAACAATACAAAAATAAAGCTATATAAAAAAAATAATACACTTATCGCAAAACCTTTCATTGCATACCTAATTCAAAAAGTGAAAATTGAAGTTCGGTCAACTTTTTGCATTTTCCAATTTTTATAAAAAATGATGGAAAGATTATTCTATTTTATGTACTCTTATTGCAAAAACAGAAAATGATATTTGCACAGGATGAAAGAAAATAAGACACAGAAACGCATTTCTGAAAACCTGGGGGGGGGGGGGTATGTTCACCCCTACATGAGCTAGTTGTTGAAAAAAGAAAGTAGAAATTGACATAGCAGTTGAACGAAAAGTATAATCTGATAAGTAGGTTAGATTACCCCTACTGGAATAAGAACAGCCTTCAGAATCATATTTACATCCACACCAACACAAATAAACATTACATTCAAATAAAGATACCCAAGTTAAGGAAATTAAAGATATGTTAGAAAATAAAATATTGATACAAAAGTTATCAAGTGTTTCATACTGATACATATTATCAAGCAAACCCACATCGTTGGCGGAGATCCTGGGGGGAATGGGGGTTCCCCCCCCCCCCCCCCCGAATTTCCAACACCCTTTATTAAATAGCACCCTCAATCTGCTGATAGTCCTACACCCAAATATTTTGCAGACGCACACATTTTTTTCAGGGCCACTTTTTTGGCGATTTTACCCCAGAAAATTGTGATCACCCCCTCCCCCCCCCCCCCACTTTGTGACAGAAATCTCCGCCCCTAACCCACATTAAAGTGGCTTCCAATTATTACCATCAGTTATCTTTATATCTTCTTTACCTTGTGATACAGTACGGAAGATAGGTGATGGGATTGTGCCTTTGATGATACAAGCATGGCATTTGCCACACAGTCAGAGTATGTCATGAGAAAGATATTTGGCTATAGAGCCATCGCAGATTTGTCTTTTGAACAAAAATATAGCTAGAATAACAAGCAATGGCAGCTATCTAGAAAAAGTTTTAAAATTGCTTGTTGCCCCCAATCCTTCCCCTAAAAGTATCCCCCCAAATACTTACCCTATCTGCCCCACCAATACAATTTACAATGCTGTGAAAAAAATAAAATCTCAAAGTTTTACTTTTTTTCCAAATTTTGAAAATTCAAACAATACTATCATATATCTTGGCATTATTTTCCAATGAAAATATGATAACAAGCAGTTGAATATCAAACAGTTCATAAAAAAATACTTTATTTACAAAAAGGTCCAAAAGTATCAATTTGGCTATAACAAATTAAATACACAGTTTCTGCACTCCAGGTAAAAACTACATTTACAACCCCTCAAATGTTGTGGTCACTGAGGAAAGGTTTTTTAATCCCTTATCAAGGCCTTTTTGTGTGATTTCAACCAAACTTTGTCAAAAGTATCAGTAGCCCAGCCCCAACATGTCCACATGATCAAACTGGGGTCAAAGGTCATCATGGGGTCACTGGGGTCAAAAACCTCATTTTTTAAGACCCAAAACACTACTTCTTCCAGAAATTACATAGCACCATTAAGCAACTCATGCATGATCATGAATTTGTTGGCCCGCAGCTTCCGTGATATTTCCAGTCAAGCTTGTTTTTGAGGTAATACAAATAAACGTGTGCCATTATCTTAGTCACCTCGGTTTAAAAAAAAAAAATTTACCTAAAAATTCCTAAAAATGCCATCTTTGTGTCAAAACTCACTCATGCATAATAATATGAACTACAATATGGTCTCAATCCATGTATAACTAGAAAGCACTCAGAGAGCGCAAACCTCCGCCAAGGCTGAACAATTCCACTCAATATTGTCAGTGCACCCAAAAGAAATACTCGCATATCCACTGGACTTCCATATTTTATTGCACATTTAAAATGTCAACAGGATTGTTCTTATTCTGAATTTATCCCAAAAAAAAGCGATGTTGGCCGCTTTCTGCTAATCCGTCCTGGTATGTTGTTTAAGCCATAATACTCCCAATGGTGAAGAATCCTTTAAAAAATCCGGCATCCAGACCCAGATCACTTCCAAAATCTAATTGATTTGTACTTATACCAAAGACCACCCCTAACAAATTTTTCATGAAAATCCGTCCATAACTTTTTGAGTTATCTTGTTAACAGACAAACCAACCAACAAACAATCCAACAAACAAACCAACGCCTATGAAAACGTAACCTCCTTGGCAAAAGTAACTACTCGGTCAAAGATACAACAAGGATTTCACCCAAAAAGTCACCTTTTTCTTCGACCAAAGGATTATATATTTTGCTTGGAAGAGGGATTTGAAAGAAAAAACGGAACCGATGAAGATAAGGTCTGTTCTGGTTAACAACCTGGTGTGCCTGTTTATAAATTATAGGCTCAAAGAAAATATGAACGAAAAGAAGCATTATTCGAGCAGCAAGACGAAGAGATGACAAAGTGAAGACGTTGCTCTGTGATGGGGAAGATACCCTAAGACAACAGATGGAGCAACAACGCAAGAAACAGCCAGACTTTTAAGACAACAGTTTCTTGTTTTGCTTATATGAAAAGCAATCAGAATATAATTCAAAGAAGATTCGACTTGGCAAAAAAACTAGGTTATAAGAAACCGCCTCTAATGGTTCTCCAACCATACAACTCACTGCAGGCTGCCAAATGCACGAAGACAAGAAGAAAGGTTTCCTCATAGTTTGGAAAACCAAACTATTACTGAAACATGTGTCCACACCCTCATTCCATCTCAAAAATATGTTGATTAACTTAAGAACATGGCTCTAGAGCATAAGAACAACAAAACAAAAATCATGAACTGTCTCTCAAAGGTTAGGATAACTTAACAATTAAGATGTATGTTGGAAGATAATCCACAAGAATGTGGGACATCACCGCAACTTCTTCCAAGATTCTTAGGACTTTCTTAAATCACCCACACAGTATGAGAAGAATATATAACTCTTAAGAAGAAAATGGATATCCTCTTAACTCAACGAATAGGATAAGAACTTATAAAAAAAAAAATAAGTCAAGAAGGAAAATCCATATTGCCTGGACAGCCGTAGCGTAAGATTCAAGCTGGCATATTTGGAAGAGGTGTCATAACAGACGTGTGTTCCATTGATCAACTGATCAAGAATCCACTAATTCAGTGGATTGGATCAACTGATCACCCAATCAGCGGATCAATCAACCAATCAGCTAATTAATCAATCAATCAGAGCCGAGAGCATATGGTGTGTGCATATACGTGTACATGCAGTACCAACGTCAACAGAGCCACAGCGTACATTATCAGGTACATGTATACTGAGCAGTTATTTCTGAAGAATTGTAGCCGAAATTGCTTTGAATGGACTGTATATTCACTGCAGTCATCAACCTGGAAAACCTTTTCCGTGAACGTGAAGTACATGTACATGTACATGTATAACTTTATCAGTAAAGGATGAATAGTATACTATACATGTAAAACGTTTTCTTTTTGAGTCCAACAAAAACTTTGTTTCGGGTCTTTGCTGCATTCACTTGCTTAACATTTAAAAAGACCCATACATTATGAAGAATGTTTTTTTGGTAAAAAAACACACACAAAAGTCCCAAGTTGACCAGCGAAACCAACTCTGGACGGAAGTGTCATTTCGCTCACGACTTTCAAAGACATGACAGAACATCGAGCCTGCATGAAAAATGAAGTGTCATCATTGTATTCCTCTTAAAATTCCTGTAAAGAACAAGAAACAACGACACTAAAGACGTAATAATGTTTGTCAACATCGAGACCGGTGCGCTGACGTGTGAGGAGCAGGGAACGCTTCAAATTCCTGCGTTACTCAAGAGATGCAAGGACAAGTGTCATTTCTGTCACTTGCGGTGAATAACAAACAATGACATTATTAAGACGTACATGTAAGGATGTTTGTCAACATCAAGACCGGTACACTGACGTGTGAGGTGCAGGGAACGCTTCAAATTCCTGCGTTACTCAAGAGAAGTAAGGACAAGTGTCATTTCTGTCATTTGCGGTGAATAAGAAACAACGACACTAAGACGTAATGATGTGTGTCAAGATCAAGACCGGTACACTGACGTGTGAGGAGCAGGGAACGCTTCAAATTCCTGCGTTACTCAAGAGATGGAAGGACAAGTGTCATTTCTGTCATTTGCTGTGAATAAGAAAAAACGACACTATTAAGACGTAAGGATGTTTGTCAACATCAAGACCGGTACACTGACGTGTGAGGTGCAGGGAACGCTTCAAATTCCTGCGTTACTCAAGAGAAGGAAGGACAAGTGTCATTTCTGTCATTTGCGGTGAATAAGAAACAACGACACTATTAAGACGTAAGGATGTTTGTCAAGATCAAGACCGGTACACTGACGTGTGAGGTGCAGGGAATGCTTAAAATTCCTGCGTTACTCAAGAGAAGCAAGGACAAGTGTCATTTCTGTCATTTGCGGTG